TATATATATTATATATATAAAATTCATCAAAATTTTTGCCTGTTATCCTTTGATTTTATAAAAAAAAACTATAAAAAAAACATACATTTCACTCTCCGGAAAGTGAAATGTGTATTTTTAAATATATTTTTTGGGCAGAATTACATGAAGTAAATAGTTTTCCATAAAAGAAAACATGTGTAAAAATGAAGTGAGTAAATAAGCATACAATTTTTGCCATAAAAATGAAACATATAATGATCGTTTTTAATATTTAATAATATTTAATAAACTCTTAAAAATCATCGAATATATGACATTTTGTTATGCTATAGTTGAAATAGAGAAGGAAATAAACATACGAAAACTTGAAAGATGCAAGACGAGGATCAGTATGTCATCTTTTCGCTTTCTTAAACTCTAGACTCTTAGACTCTTAGATTATCACGCTTATCCGTGGTGTTCTAAACTTCTGACACAAATCTTAGACTAAAAACCCAGATACTTTAATCTCATACGCTTGAACTGTAGACATATAAATCCCAATCCATTAATGACAATTTAATTTTTAATTTAAATGCGATTATAATTGATCTTTGATGTCAATTTCACTCATAGAGCACACAAATGATTGTGGTTCTTAAAATTATAGAATCGGCTTTTAAAGTCAAATGAGTGCAAAATCCGATGTGCACTACGCGGTGGAATTAACATCGATATATAAGATTGAAGTCTCTGGATTTTCAGTCTAAGATTTATGAGTCTGAAATTTAGAAGTCCACGGATAAGCTCTAAGAGCCTAGAGTTTAATAAAAAGGCGGGAAGTTAACGTGCAAAACGCGTGTATCTCATCTTACATCCTTCGAATTTTCATATATTTGTTTTCTTCTCTTAAAATTCTATTACAACAAAATATCATATATTTGATTTTGAGAGCTTTTTAAACATTAGTATGTATAACATCAGTATGTTATATCAGGATGTTAAACATCGGTATGTATCTCATTTTTAAGGCAAAAATCTTATGCTTAATTCACTTTATTCATATTTTTATATTATAAATTCTCTTCATATTTATGGAAAACTGATTGCGTAATTCTGCTGCCCAAAAATAATAAAAAAATATTTACTTTTCGGTTAAGAACAAAAATCGACGACTTTATCCGCCCTCCTTTTTTTCTTTTCTATTTAATTTTAATAATCTTTACATAATACAGTAGTATAATATAATACATAATTCATCAGTAGTCATTTGTTTAGTAGGTAAACAGCAGAGAAAAAAAATCAAAATATTGTAATAAATAAAATACAAAGTGATTCCTAAATTTTTTTTATGAGTAATAATCAAGTTATCTTGATTATCATTCATAAAAATCACTTAAATTATTTTGCACATTCTGGAGATGTATGTTATCTTGCAGAAATAACCTTTTCAAAGTTCAAATTTAAAAAAAAAACAAGTAATTTCTTTTCTTTGAAATTTTGAATGAATGAAAGATTAAATAAGTAAAATAGATAAAAAAATGAAGTATTTAAATAGTTCAAATAGCAATAGAAAAATCATATTCTGACAAATTGCGCCATCGTTCAACTTTAAGCGTAATTGCTATGTCGTTGTATTCATTTTCTTTACCATCGGTTGGAAGTAGGTTGAGTAGTGTCGGATGACACTACTCATTGGTATCATATCTATATTAAATGTATATACACATAATCTGTATCTACATATAATAATTAAATTTAGAATATTTTAATTTCTACTTATAATAACAAAATTGCGAAGATTGACAAAGCATATCCGGTGTCATTAATTTTCTAATTATTTATACACATTTTTAGATCGAATTCATCGCACTTAAATATTCTTGCACGAATGATTGTGTTTAAAAATTTCTTATTTTTATTTATCAGGGGAAGTTTGATAGACATATTTCGACATGAAATTTCGCTTTGTTTTTGTTTTTCGATCAATTATTAAGAAATTCGAGTTCCGAAGATATCCGGCGTCCAGGACTACCCAAACTTTTCTTATATTATGTATATAACATTTTATATATTTTATTAATTATTTATGTATTTTATTAATATTTTATTAATTATATTGATATATTAGGAATGTGATTTAGTTTTGAGGATTTTGCAAGAGATGGCATTAATGTATTATTGAAGATATTTCAATTATAGCTATTATTTTTTATTTTTTTAATATTATTCTATTTAACATCAATGTTTACTCTATTAGTCGTTTACTAATAGAGTAAACATTGATGTTTATGTTATTTTAAAAATGGAACTTCCTAAAAAGCATTTTTGATATGCATTGCTCTTGTTTTTTAATCAGAAATGGCAACTAAAGGTCATAAAATTCTGATAGAAATTTATGGTGATAAGCTAAATCTCACTACTAATAATACTTATTATTTATTTTTTCAATTTTGTATTGAATACTTAACTGTTAGGCACAACACTGTAATCATATTAACGATTGCTGATTAAATTGCAATTGTGATTGTGATTGGCGATTATTTTTCAATCAATTAGAGCAAAGTAATCGGTGACTGATTTTGCTCTGATTGGTTGAAAACTAATCACTAATTACAATCGCATTTCAACCGACAATTGCTAATATGATTATAGTTTAACGTCGTGATTCATGAATATCTGGATGGATTTGATATGTTCGACATTCAAAAATGCTTAAATCAGAACTTAAACGGATTAATGATACGTAATGTATTCTAAATTCTAATATTCTATTGTATTCTCTTGCGCATGAAAAATCTAGTTCAGAGGATCAGAGGGAGAGGAAGAGGAAGAGGAGGAAGAGGAGGGTGAGGGTGAAGAGGAAGACGAGTCGGACACCCACGAGGAAGAGGAGGAGGAGCTCGACGAGATCGACATGGAAGTCAGTTATTCCCATCATCCGCAGAGGTCTAGTCCGACGGACACAGTGACCGCTCCCGTATCCATCCGGATGGTTAACGCATCGAATTTAACTCGTTATTCTTAATTTTTTTATATTGATTCGGATGTGCATATCTGTGATCGCGAATCTCGTATAATTATTTCTAGTGAAGTAACATTTTATTAAAATAAACTAAGTTAATTAAGTTTTGTGACTAATATAATTTTAATGCGAATTATTTTAATTATAATAGTTTGATGATATCAATGATTTTGTAAACGTTCTAAACGAATAAAGATCGGTTTTCTATTCTTAACTTTCATTTTCTTTCTCTTTTTTTATGACAACAAAAAGTCGCCGCGCTTTTTTTAACTTAATTTTTTTATCACGATGGGATCGTCGATTCCATCGTTCAACGAGCGGTTAGCATTTCGAAATTGAAATTTTGCCGTTCTCTCGCTCGCACTTGGGTTTAGGTCAAGAACCCGACTGGTGGCAGCCATAAGCCGATGTCGTCTCTAAGCGGTGCAAATTCCATCATGACGATGAAAATTGCACGATCAGCGCATTTGGACGGCGCAACGCATCATGGGCGCTTCTTCGCAGACCGAAGCCTTCGCTCTTTCAGGCTGGAAACAGTCGACGGAGTATTACTCGCGGACAGTAATGTCTTCATTCCTAGCGTCGAGAGCTTCTTTCCAAGAGAAGAGCGACTCGCGCTTCGTCCTGAGCGGTCGAACAAAAGCATTTGTCCTTTTTCCTTGCCTTCCCTTCTCTCTCTCTCTCTCTCTCTCTCTCTCTCTCGAACGGGCCGGTGATGTCGGTGCCTCACTCGCTCTCTTTCTCACTCTTTCGCAAAGGGCCGTGGAATCGTATTCGACCGGGACACTCTCGGTACACTCTCCGTGTACCCATCTATACTAGGTGTAAGTACACCCAAGAATGTATTATATGCCTTTATACAAGGTGTCCCAAAATATGCGCTTAAAGACTCTACAGCAAAAGAGTGAAAAAAAATCGAGTAACACACGGTCGTGACTTTTCAATCTCGGTAATAGTCTTTTTTCCCACACTTTTTTTAGATTTTAGCTTTAATCATAAGCAATGGTTAAACAGTCATACAATGATGTTAATTATCTCCTCGTTCACGCTAGAAAAAAAACATTGTCATGGTGTCAGCGACTCTGAAAAACGGAAAACGATAGATTGTTCAAGTACAAATGTTTGGCCAAATTTCAAATGCTCTTACGGTACAATAAAAAATTATTATTCGGAGTAAGAAATCATATGGACACTTTTGTCACTCAATCTTTCACGATCTTTTCCGTATTTTTATATTCCGATCTTTTCTGGTGCGAACATCCGGACATATGTATCTGTGCATATGTCTTATACGTATATGCTTTTATATATCTAGTTATATATCTAGTTATATATTTAGTTTTTATTTCTAATTTCATGTATATGTATGCACATACATATATATATATATATATATATATATATATATATACATATATATGCATGTATATACATATACACAATGTGCCAGCTCTCCCGGCGTGTAACTGAAGTAAAGTCAGGTTGGTGCCCCCGCTAGGGTGAACGAACGGGTACGCTCAGGCAAAAGCGAACCCGTGTGCCTTCTCCTTCACCGCCATCATCACCTCCTCCTCTTCTAGCAACAACGTTTTCCTCCTCTTTCTTCTCCCCCGGACAGAGATCGTCACTGTGGATTCTTGTGTGAAGCGAAAAATGCAAAAATCGACTGCTCACTGAATAGGAATTTTATGGAGTTGCGATCACCGGCACGAAATCAAACGCGCATCATTCGTTTGCATATTAAATTGTACAAGCTGTATGATATCGATCTGTGTTTGGCGTGCTCGTGCCAACGCGCGATAAAGTCTCGCGCTGGTAATTCAGATAATTCAGCGTGATCGTACTGCTCCGATACATTTCTATATATTCTAAACAAAGTGCAATCAAAGTTGATTACTTCGCTTAATTGACCTGTTTATTATTACTTACTATTACTCGCATTATCTTAAAATGTCTTAAGTAATAAAAAAAATTATACAGAGAGGTGATTAATTTCAATAAAATTAAATTATTTAAAATATTAAGAAAGATTTTTCTGATTGGTCGATCGGATCTTATGGATCTTACTAACTTACTGCGTGTATGTGTTTTAAATATCATATCCTAAATTCTCATGAATATATCATTATCAAAAGTTTTTCGTATTTTTGTTGATTGTTCTTCTTTCCAACAATTTTATTATTGATTTTTAGTATGATTTCAAATGTAGATGTATTATGAGATTATGCAATTTCGATTCATATTTCTAATAGTGATAGCAGCACATAATAGTTTTTTAATAATTTTTAGAATTCAAAAACAACGAAAAAAAAAAATAATAAAGGGTTTTTCAAACAGTAGAAGACTTCGTAAGTCTCATTCCCGTCGATCAAAATTATTTTGTTGTGTACTTACTGTGCAGTTTCCTGTCTCTCAAAAGATTTTTCATCATTTTTAAACTATTCGAATTCCGCGCGCGCGATAAGATAATAATTATTTCAATAATTTGAATATTTAATATAAGATTATATTTATATAGAAATTTTATCAGAAATATAGTATTCACGAATTTGTAAATTAACAAGGCAGATTTTTTGTTTTTTTTAGTTTATATAGAAAATTTCAATTTTAGTTTAGAAAGATAGTATAGAAAATATACATCAAAATCTGTTATTTAAAATTACATTTTGTGGATAAATCTAGATTTTTTAATATGTTTTTAAAATAGATTTGCATTTAATCTTCCTTTAAAGAAAAAAACATATATTTTTTTTTTATTTAATTATCCGTAATTCAAGAATTAAATTGCTGTGAATCTATCATCATTTTTAATGTCAAAAGAATGTTATTATAATATTTTCACGTATTGAAATATTTTTTGCTTTCTAAAGTAAATTTATATTCTCGACGTAAGATAAAGAACCACGAATTTCTTCTAGTTACGCTCAACTCAGCTGGGTTAGAATTCTTTAATTTGCCTCGGATGATATTACATTTCCAAAGACAGTTACATACGCACAAAGTATCTAAGCGTTCAGAATGCACGTATAAATCCCGAGATTTATGAATCACGAGTTTCGCGGATGATAATACCGTTTAGATTTATGAATTAATACAGGTCATATTAGACGCATAAATCTTGATGTTAGGCAGATGGAATTGTCTGTGTAGAATTATTTGACAATCTCGAGATTCTCGAACAATTCGTCGGTAGATTATAGCGTGTTGTCTTTTGGGGACTTTTTAAACCGTGCTATTTATTTCTTCAAATCCTTTAAATCCTTCGCGCATAATCTTTAATATATTGAAAATAAAATATTTGGTATTTGTGACTATAATTGCATGAATAAAATAATTATAAATAATAAAATCGAATAAGTTAGAAGATAATATCCGTGAAAGCCTAAAAAGCAAAAGTAAAAACTTTTAATTCATATTTTCGATACCAGTTGTAGTATTTTTCTGCATTTACTCTGATAGAATTTTTTTATTGAAATTGTAAAGAATAATAAAGTATTATTCTTATTGCATATTGAAATCTATATCAATTGATCTACTTTCAATATTATTCAGTATTGTATATTAAGTTTCATTAATAATTCAATATAAAACTTAAGATTATAAAGAATTTAATAAATTTTAAAATAAAAATTAATGAACGCAATGAATTTAATGAGAAGTTATCGGGAGGATTCCTGTTTATATGATTCAGAGATTATTTACAGGATATCTTATGGGTTGTAAAATGATGCCTCATTATGACCTACATGCTTCTATTGGACATTCAAATTCGTAATTCTTTGGACAATTCTATTATTCTGTAAGAATAATAGAAATATTTCGTAAAATGTTATTATTCATTAGCTTTGTTGGTACAAAAATAATCATGTCTCGAACTAAATACATACAAAAATATATCTTGTACAAATGTAAATAATGACATATCTGAGTTTCAGTTATAAAGATCTCTAGAAAGCTTGAAATTTTATATACAAGAAACGACATCATCTAGTAGCAATTCTGGAAAGAAATTTTTATGAATTCAACACTTTTTGTTAGAATGCAAACTGATTTCCATATTTTTCCGCAAGTTTGAAGTACTTTTTTGTCCATTATTATTCCATTATTTTAATCCTATTATTTCTTTTTTGGTAACTTTTATCAATGAATCTAAAAATAATATGTTTTTCGTTTCAATGTCATTATTTTTCAAATATTTTCATTAATTTTTCTTAGAATTTATACAATAGTATTTCAACATATTTATATATTTAGCATAGTACAAGTAATAAATTCGTACAAGTAATAAATTCGTAAAAATATTACATATTTTACATTACTTATTTTGCATTTTTTTCATGCATCTTTAACATTATCTTTAAAGTTTATAGTATTTCAGCAAAATTCAGTGTTTAATTTTTCTTGAATAAATCTGTAAAAATATGAAACATATATTTGCATTATTTTTCGTTTTTTTTATTACTTTATTTTAATTAATTATCCAATTTTATTATATATACAATTAATAAATAATTACAGTATATAAAAGAAATCACGCTAACAATAATTAAAGGTAGACAAATAGAAGAAAAAATTTTTTAAAAAACGTATAATACATAGAAAAACCATTAGAATTATGTTAACATTAATATCAATTGCAGATTAAAAATGAACAAGTCAATAAATCAGTGCATATTAAAATACAAAACTATAAATATCTTCTTCAGTCAAACTGTTATAAGTCAAAAATTAAAAGAGTAATGCAATGGATACAGAAATTTTATAAGCCATTGTGTTGTATTTAGAGCAGAGAAACTTGCAGCATCTGACAACGTTATGAGTTAAAAAGGAGACAAATAGATGCGGAAACAGTAATATACGAAAGGAGGAAGGAGAGAAGTTTTAGGAAGTTTAGGAAGGGAAAAGGGAATGTAATAATATGTTTCCGGCAGAGATTCTGTATCATTTTGCTTATTTATCCCATGTTTCTGTCTTGTAAGAGAATTCAATGTCCAAAATTTCAA